TGCTAGGGGAAGGGGGTCCTGGCTGGAGTAAAAGGAAGATGTACCTGCTGGGAGACGGAGCTTGGCTGGCACACCACAGAGGGCCAAGAATTCCCCCAAGGCATTTCAGCCAAGTTAGGCTAAGCTAGAGGAGCGGGAGCAAAAACCTACACTGAAATCTCCCATTGGGTAATACACATTCTAGCCTTTCATGTTGTGACAAGACCCATAAAGCCCAGGAATCAACACAAATTAAGTCAGGTTCCATCAGACCTTTTAGTGATTACTTTGGAAACTCAGGCAATTTGAGTTCAGAAATACTGATTTCAACTTTTAATCAGTTCTCTTTGGTTCCCCAATGCCCCCTACCCCCCGGCTTTTTTAAACAGCATTTCCTTTCTACCGCTTCAATTTTTTTTTTCATTTCCACAGCACTGAATTATGAATCTGAAGTCCTGGATAACCTCATGTACTAAAAATACCTCTATATATTTCTAACTTTTAACTCTTTCTCTGTTTTCAAGCCATCCATCTTAATTCATGAAACCACATTTTCACAGATGTGTAATTGGACTTTTAGAGACTACCTACATGGGCTGATTTGATCCTACTTTGACCTCATTTATTTCATGCTTCAATATGAATAAAGTGGGGGTTTACTAGCAGATAGGGAAATAAATTCTGACCGCCCTTCAAGATTATTCCAGATCCTTCCTAATGAAGTGATACTGTTTGGGTACACCATATTACAGGGGCTGCCTTTCCTGAGTAAGTTCAAAGCAGCCATTGAGGGATTACCTGAAAGACCCTTTAATTGCTCCTGGTTGATCAAAGGGGCACTTTTCCTTGACCTACCATGACAAGAGAATGAGAAGCACAGTCAGTAACAGTAAAACTGGTCTTCCCTTGGAGAGACAGTGCCTGCTGTGGATCTGGGGACGTATCTGGTGGAGTACGTTTATTGCTGGGCAGCCTTCACAGGAATCGGGAATCAGAAGCCGTTACATACACGCTGTCACATACACACACAGGGAAGGGATGATTTTCCACTGGCGATGGCAGGCCTTCATGTGTCCTCTTCTTCACTGGCACCGCTACAAAGGAAAGGAGAACCAGGTAAGTTGAGACATCATGAGAAGGGAGGCTGTCTAGTTTCCTGACTGAAGGCACAGGCTCTGTTGCCAGACTTACCTGGATTCCAGCCCTGACCCTACCACTGCTGGGCACTGTGGCCAGAGGCAAGTTACTTAACCTCTCTACATTCTGATTTCTCTGACTGCAGAGATAATGATGATAATAAAACCTACTTTCTTGGGTTATTGGAGGAATAAACAGGATAATGTATATAAAATGCACAGTATGTGAATAGCTATTTAAAGGAGCAGGTGAGGGTCATGATGTTTTTTAGCTTGAAAAAATAAATTGCTGGTAAAAATCAAAAGTTTGACTTCCACTAAACCTTAAAGTCACCTATTGTTAGAAGAGAAAAACAAAAAGAAGCTATCATTCTGCATACCCAATGGCACTTCTCACTAGGAATAAAACCAAGGTTTCAATTCACGCCACAGGGACTGCTGCTGGTTTCACGTCACCTCTTCGGAGAAGGCACTCTAGTCCGATCCCTGCTTGTTCTCTGTCTCCATCTATTTCTCTCACAGTCCTTATCATACCCAGTGAATCATTAGTTTGCTATTTACTCTCCCTTCCACGCCCTACCAGGGCATAAAAGAGTAGCAATCCTGTCTATTTTATTAACTACTGTTTATCTAGCACTAATATGGGAATATACAGAAGTGTTCAGTAAATAGTTGTTTTAAAAAAAGGAGTGAGAAATAAGAACAAAGGGGGAAGGATTTAAAAGGAATAGTCAGTCATTACTGCTTTGACCAGGGTATCCTAGATGTCAGTGATATTTCAGTGGTGAAAAAAATGAGCTGTGAGTCCCAGAATCATGGCTCCAACCTCAGCTGCTTAGGATTGGAGCCTCCCTAGCATGGTTCTAGGAAAGAACATTGTCAATATAGGAACTAGGGCAAGAAAAAGGTAGGGCCAGACAGACTCAGAAGGACACCCAGAAGGACAAAAGTAGCAAACTTGCCAGGTTTCTCCTCCTCTACCACTTCTAGAGGCTACTGTCCTTGGACCAATAAGAAGACCCAACTTGCCTGTGTGCTTACCCTGTGCCGGGGCACTGGGCTGAGCGCGCCCCATCCACTCCTTCTAATGCTCCTCAGAGAAAGCCTAGCACGTGGAGACTCTTACGATTTCTATTATCCCCATTTGGTAGATGGAGAAAGTGAAGCTCTGAGAGATGTAAAATCCTCAGTCACATAGTGAGCTCTGTTTCCTTAAAACTTAAGGATCAGTTTAGTGTGGACAAAGCCGGGGTGTGTGGAAGGGAGGGAGGGACGCTCTCCCTCCTCTGGTAGAGACAGGAGCTAGGGAAGAGGAAAGGAGCTCCCAGCTATGACCTAGAAACTTTTTATCTCATGAGGGATTATCTGTGTATATAAAGTCTCTGCCTTTTCACATCCATTTGGGAAAGACTTTAAGGGCAAATATTCTAGGAAACAAACATGGACTAATTCTGCTAAGGGTGGAAACATTTCGAAACACAGAGCCTGAAATTTAGGTAAGTGTACTCTAGGAGCCAAAAGAACCAACTCAGAAACCTTCACTCTCCAAACTCTGCCCTTTTCCATTCCATTTTCCTGCCTATTGTCTAATCATGGGATGAAGGGTGAGTATTAGGAAGGGCTGGACAGTGGACCTTCATTAAGGAACACTGTTTGGTGGCATCTGTCCCAAAGGGAACAAAGAGTCTTTCATGAAAGTGTCTCACCAGAATCAAGGCACAGCTGGAACTGGCGCCACAGTCTCCCCTTTGGTATTACATCCAAAGCAAGCTCAGTGTTCTTTGTCAATTTTCCCTCAAATATGAGAGGTCTAGCATAGGCATGTGCCCTCTCCTTAAACTGCGGTTCACTCTTTAGCATTCTTAACTTGACGTGCATAGTTAAAGGGTTCATGGACCTACTGAAACTGTATACAAAAGTTCTGTCTGTGCTGCCTTTGTCTGAGAGAGGCCATAATTTTCATCATATTCACAAAGAGGTTAACAACCCCCAAAATTGAGTATAATGAAATTATAGATGAACTAAATTCTTTTGAGTTGCCAGGTCCCTTACTATAAGACTTGTAGAGTTGACTTGGGGAAGAGATCAGAAGCCCTGCCTGATGAAATCTTTTCTCATTACCCTAAAAGAGATCTGTTCTTGGGCTGAACAATATAGCTCTTCCCTCATAGTTTAAAAGCATGAGACCTTGGGATCCTGGCATATCACTGGTTAATCTGACCATCTACTCTGTCAGGCATGAAAGTAAGCACAACAATGAGTAAGATGAAATCACACAAGCTGTCCTCCTGGACTTTACAGCCTAGTAGGTGAGGGATGGGGGGAGAAGGGAGATGGAAAGTTATTTCTGTCCAGAATAGCAGCTTCAAATAAAACATTCATTTTCATAATTAATAACCTGTTTTTCACAATGAAGAAGAAAAACGAGTAACTGAATCTGGAACATAGAGCTTTGTTCACCTTGTGTGTGGTCTCTCCTGGAGGTCACACAGTGTAATTAGTGTGAGATAGCATCTCCTGAATGCTCTTTCTTGACTCTGTATATAAGCTAGTCTGTGTAAATAAGATTTTATCTTAACTAGTCAATAGGAGTCTTTACTTTCTCTAAGAGAAGTAACACAGCCTTCTACCTCAGCCACTTACCATCCTCTGAAACATCGACCATTCACGCTCAGATTTATAATTGGAGTTATAATTATAAGGTATTGAAATTTTAAAAGTGTCTGTTTTGTTACTGCTGTTTTGAGAATAAACTAAGGGTATTAGATAGACAGCCAATTCTCTAGTGGGTATTTACCATGACAGAAGCAGCATTATATAATGGCTTTGAAGTCACCAAAGTAAACTAGGTTCAAATCCCTGCTCTGGCACTAATGAGCTGTGGGACCTTAGGTGAGTTGCTCAACCTCTCTGAGTCTCAGTTTCCTCACAGTAACACTGTATACCTTACAACGTTATAATGAAAGTTTTATGTATTTTATGCAATATAAATGCTTAAAAATGTTGGCTCCCTTCTTCCACCTGATTTCCTTCTTTTCCAGAATCTACACTTGCCTCCTCCTAACTTTCCTTCAATGTTGCTCTTCTGGCATCTGAAATGTTACGCTCCAGAGCAAGTGAGCTCCTGTCCCAAAATGTCCTTAAATTTCTGGAGCACAACAGTGCCCTTCTTTGCTTGCTTGGAGAGGTTTTTTTTTTTTCTAATGACAACTTCAGACTTAATGACATACAGATACTGAATAGAAAGAAAGGCTGAGTTCCATGATTCTGACCCTCCTACTTGACAAGTCTCTAGAAAAGGCAGTTCCTGCCGACACTGGTGAGGACAGATACTGAGTGAAGCCCAGCTAACTGGCCTCAGTCACAGGCTGATCTAGTTTGAAAGTGCTCTTTTGTCTAAAAGCAGTGCTTTTAAAACTGGGGTACACATAGCTTTGTGGTACCTAACGGCTGTCCAGGAGGTATTTGGTCATCGTTGATTCAAAGGAAATAAATGTTCAGATCCTTACCTTCTATACATACTCCTTCCTAAAACTGACCTTTCCTAGAACGTGTCTGTGATCTACAGGTTCTCTCCTCAGCCACTCTCACTTTTACAACCACCTTACTCCCACTTCAGAAGAGAAATACATACCCCTCATCCTCCTGAACCTCACCACGGGACAATTTTAGAACTCCTTACTTCTGAGAGGAGTCCTAAGAGAGCAGGGTAAGAAAGAGTAAAGGATATAATCCCTTATTTCATGCAGGTAATAAACTCTTGGCAAAGTTGTGTGCCCTTATCTGTCTCTCCATAGATCTAAGAATTTATATTCAGAAGTGAGGTGGTTGTCACGAAGTGTATACTAATATATTTAATTGAAAATATGTAATCAGATGTGGATCTGACAGGCAGCAAGACTGATCTGGCTGGATGGTTTGACCATATAAACCACCTCTGCCAACAAAATTATATAGTAAATCTTGCCTGCAAATTTAATAAGCTAAATCTGTAGTGCCAAAGTTTTGACAGAAATGTATATAAAGCTCATATTGTATAGTATGTCAAAAATCACACCCTTTCCAACTATCTAAACTTGATATATGATTTCAGGAGTTAACTTAAAAATGGGCAAGGAGGCATATAATCTTTTCTAAATTATTTTAGGGGGTGTAAGAACAAAAAGTTCAGCTAAAGGAACTGAGAGTCCCTAAACTGTGATGGGAGAGAGGTGTGACATTTAACAGTTCCCTGGCTGGGGACAGGGGTCTAGGTGACAGAATGGGACTGGGAGCCCAGCCAGCAGACTGCTGTGACCCCTCTGTCAGGTGGGCACATGGCCTCAGGAACATCCTTTTTGTCTAGTGGTGCCTGTGAAACTGAACAGCTGTTCAAGGCATGCCTCAAGGCCCATCATATTCAGCCCCTAAACACCTGCTGATAAAGTTATTATGATCAAGAAGCATTTCACTGCCTGACAAGTTTTAGACAGTCCACATGGATTGGTAGCTCAGTTTTTC